CTGCCCCAGTGGGGCATGCAAAAGCAAGGGGCAAGGCTCTGGGTACCAACACCAGAGATGTAAATTCCAAGATTGATAACCACATTGCAAGGCAGTACTGTGCATGGTTCTCTGCTGTCCAAAGCAGCTGGAAAGCGATCTGATTTTGGTCACAGAGGAATCACTCCCAAAGGAATGCCTTCATATTGAAAGGAGGTGTTCCAATGATGAAGGATCTGCATCGCTAATCTAAACAATGTGAGTTTGAATGACCCCAGAAGTTTGCTAGAAGCCACTATTTTAATCTAGCAACCTTGAAGCTGCACTAGCATTACAGTGAGAACCAGAGAAAACGGAGGCAGACTGCAATGTTTGGAAGGAAATGTAGTAACTTAAGCCACTGTTGGTATACTCTCCTCTTCACACCTGAGGTCTGAGAGCAACTATGGAAGGATGTGAATTTATTCCCATGCATTGCTTCTTTCTTAAAGTCATCTAAACTGCAAGACGATTGCTGGACAACGAGTTGAATACAGCTGCATCTCAAACGTTCTCAGCTTGTACATTTTATTGTTGCTCTCTGAGGTAATAGTATAGACCAAATTATTGGTTTGGTTGCATTCTGGATAGTAGTCTGAAAAACTTGGTATAAAATCAACAACATCAGGTACAAAAGCCTCCCTTTCCTGCCCATCACCAAATGGTTTGTTTCAGCCACTAGCGGGTCCCATCCTCAGTGGACTCAATATCAGTACCGATTTTTTTCCATTCTTTCTCCATTTGTAGCATCCTGCATTTCGTCAACATAAATCTCAATGAAGGAAGACATCCCAAACTAAAAGCTTCTACCATTTCTTTAAACTGATCATTTTTTGCTTTGTGGAAGTTAATGTCAACATGCAACTTTCCTAATACTAAAAATTGTTTATGACATCATCACCTGCTGATTTCAACTACTTGGAAGAGTCACTGAAGAGGAACAGATTTCTCATAAATGTAGTTGATATTAAAGAGCTCTGGAAGACCAAGATCAAGGACATAAGTTATAAAATATTCCAATAATAACAACAAAAAATGTCCACCTTTACAGGGACCTCATTCTTCAAGGCTTCAATTCTCTACTTTGTTAAAACAGCATCTAATTGTACGGTACACTCAACATTGAAGAATCCAAAAATACGGACAATTGTACCCTTTTAAAGCAGTAGGAACCATCTTTATCTTATTTAAGAATTCTCAAGTACGCCAGCCAATATTTTATCTTAGAAGACTTGTCTTACATGAATGATAACCTCCCTGTGTTTAAATCTGAGTCACACTCTAGAACCAGTCTTAGGATTGAAAAAAGATGAGACTACAGAAATACAGAATTTAACTGCTGCTTGCAGAGCCTCAGAGTTAATGTTAGTTCATTTTCTATAAAAAACAGGAAGCCTAGGACTCCCTTCTGTTAGAAAACAAATGAAAGCTAATATTCTTAAGAACAACATGATCTAAGGAACATATATTTGGGGATTTAATAATGCTAGAATGATTGGTTTTCATTTCTTATTTCTATCCACCTTTCTAGTACCTTCAGCCTGAAAAACATTGAATTAAGCAGATTCATACATTGAAGTCCAGTAATTTCTGAGCATAAAATTCCATTTGCAGTATTGATTAGCTGCAGCATTAACTGAAGACAGAAGGGAAAAAAATCACCAAGGGAATTTAGTACTGAGGTGACTGAGGTTCAGGGGCACAGCAGGGGAGTCAGAGAGAGGAGGAAAGTGAAGCCTAGGCAGGAGGAGCTGGGTTGAAAAGCCTGAATATCAGCTCGAAACTTCATCTCATTTGAACAGTTCACAATTCTTCTTGCTCCCCCCATTTCACCATTCAATAACACTTTTTATTCCAGGATGAGAAGCATTCTTTTCTCCAAATAGACAAATTCATTCCCAAGTCCCTAAACAGGTACAAAAGTCCATCTGGAAATTGTAAGAAAACAGAGAGTTTCATATTTAAAAAAAAAAAAAAAAATCAAATTCCACAATTCCTTTCCTTCACTTCTCTGCCCTTTCTCTCCTCTTCCTCCCCCCAAAAACAAAGTCCTTCATTCTTCTTCTCTGTATTTTAATGAAGATTGCTCAATAACATAGTTTTCTAGTTTTCTCCTAGTCCTAAGTCTTAGCTGTCAAATGCCTACCAGGAGATAAAATCCAAAAGCTAATGATACAACTGAAACAGTGGCATTTTGCATGTAAATATTACATTCTGGGATAAACCGTAGAGGAACTATTGAAAGCTGCAACTGAAAGCGACAACTCAACTTCCCTGGAAGTTTTAAGCAGCAGAAAATTTCTGGTGAAGGAAACAGGGTGGTGCTTAAAAAAATTTGTTTTTGCTGAACGTAAGTTTTCTTGTAAAAGTGTGCCAGAATGTGAAAGCAGGTTTTAACTGATAACGGGTGTTGTCCTTCTGATTTAAGAAAGTTATGGTTCTGGTGTTAGCACTGCTACTTGCAGTTTTGTGAAACAACAGCAGATCAAAAATTGTTACGATTTCTATCATGTTCACAGATACCTGGGTAAACAGTAAGGCCAGCCACTGTTAATTGATGTGACCCTTGACTAGGTGCCCCTCAGGCAGCATGCACAGGGTCTGGGTCAAGATGTGCGACTATTCTCTGAGGACAGAAAATTGGTATAGGCATGGAATAACAGAAATGAGTCATCAATACTCAAAAATGCATGGGAGAAGAGTAGAGTGGTGGTGGCATCTATCTCCTCGTAACACTGGTCAAGAGATTGGAGGCGTAAGGACCGGGAACACTATCCTTAAAAAGTCATCTATTTCTTTTTATTATTTTCAAGCGTACCTATCTTATGTGGTTAGTGAGGAAGACTGCATTCTGCCTGCACCGTCTGAGATTTCCAGCTTCCTCCATCATCAGGCTTATGCAATTAGATCTGGCTTTCTGCTATAACATTGGATAGACATTGCTGGGGTTCTTCTTGACAATTTTAAGTGTAGCTTCTACCCAGTTAACTCCATTGTTGTGGAAATAGTAGCTATATCCCAGAAACAGTGATGTGGATACTACTGTAAGCATTGTTAGAGCAGACCTGGTCTGATCCGCAGATTAAAACGGGTAATGCAACTAATTTACACAGTTTGCTTCTAATTCTGACACAGATGGCACTTAAGCATTCCAGCCTTGGCAATTTTGCTTCAAAGTCAGTACCAAGGCCAGGATAATCCTTTCTAGCAATTTTCTCCTTCATTTTTGTGCCGCCAACTTCCATATAAAATAGTTTGTATCTGCTACTCCCCTTCTACAGCCATGCATTGAACAAGCTTTGACAAGACACAGGATAGACCTTCACATACTGAGCCAAGTGACACCAGAGTCATGAATCCCTACAATGTGCAAAGCTCATTTCTTAACCCTTATCTTCAGGTGGGTGTACCACAAGGAAGAGGAAATCAGTGATCCAATGAAAAAACAAAAAAAGGAAAAGTACAACTACCTTCCTTGATGGTAGTTCTGACTCTCCAGCTCTTAAATTATGCAAAGTGTGGGATAACAAACACTGATTATTTTTTAAAGCTAGCATTCACTGCAAAAAGAAAGATGAGCCAAACCCAGACAACTAACAGAGCAAAAATAGTGCATGTGCTCATATGTGCATGTTTCCTTAGACAAAACTACTTTTCAGAAAGTTCTTCAGCCACAGAATTAGGCAAATAACCAATACAGCTAACTCTGGAGACAATGGAGACAAACTCATGAAGAATAACCAACTGTAAACTTGCACTGGCCATTATGTCCTCTTCTCACACAAATCTTTGTCTTAATGTTATCAGCACACATAGGTTATAGGAAAAATAGATACACCAGAAATCTCATATCCCTAAAATGGATACTTTTCAAATTTATTCTAATGCAGACGATGAAAGGTCTTCAATCAAAGCTGGCAAGAGCTCATTAACATAGGCTTTCATACAAGCCAGAAAAAAAAAGAAAGGGAAAAAAAAAAAGGAATGCTGTTCTGGATCTAGACAAGCACTCCCATCATCATCGATAGGAATTTGCATGTAGATCAAGTTTAGCGTATAGTGCAAAGACTTTGTAGTCAGGTTATGAATTTTCCCATTATTAGCCTTTATAAACAGTTTATAAACATCAGGCAAAATGGCTTGGGTTTTGTTGGGTTTGTGTATGTTTGGTTTTTTAAGATTGCTCTTATAAATGTACACATACAAAAAAGAAATCAGAAAGAGCATGAAAGAGGAGAGTATTCCAGTAAGAGTCTATTGACAACTGATCGTTTATTATAGGTAAAAACAAAAAACACACATTTGAGCAAGAAACAGTCACACAAGTAATAGTTTGGAGGACTGTTCCTTCAAAATCATTATATTTAAGAACATTTCAGTTCAGCAATTTAAGTGCGCATGGGAGATGCCTAGTTTTATCAGTTTTCTAAAATAATTCATTCAGAAGGAATACTACTTTTGCTAATATTAAGTCCTACACACTGAAATTTCAGATCAAGCCTCTGACAGATCTTCATGCTGCCAACAGACATGCAGTCATTCACCACTGCTCTGCACTTCAGCTTTCTGAGGACTGTACTTTGGAATTCCTGTAGACTGAATAGATGGCACAGGGAATTCAACATATTAGTAGTACTATTTTCAGTGCTCCTTCAAAGAAAACCAGTGCATATTTCTGCAGACCTAAGAAAACTTATAATCTTTTTATGTCATCTAAACAGAGAAGAAAAAAAGTTGTCATGCATATTTCAGATATTTAAAAAAAAAAAAAAAATCTTGCTACATACTGCCATCCAAATACCTCCAAGCTACACTTTCCTTACCAGCAACTGAGAGGGGGGTATGTACTTTGAACAGGAAAGATGCAACACACAACATAAATCAAAAATTGTGAGAATTAAACATCAACAGGATGAAGAAAAGGAACCTGCTACCACAGCGGGCAATTAAAAGACACAAAAAAAAAATCAAAAACAACCTACCAATCCAATTATCCATCAGAGACTCTGCAGTTACTGCGGCTTCTACATGACTTGCAGCCTTGCTGATCAAGGGCCGTCACAGGACACCTAAGCAATAAGAATTTCACATTTCAAACTTGGAATACTTACCAGCAATTTGCAGTTTTCAAGAAGCCTAGAGATACCTGTTCCACCTTGGTCATTTCTCCATTTTAAAAAACTGCAACACAGTGAGGACGTTCGGGGGGATTTTTTTGTTAACTTGTTTTGTTCTTATAAGTAAACTAACCTCTGATAACCTATCTCCATTTGCAGCAGGGAGCAGAATGACTTTGTTAGAAGATTCCCCCTGCCCTGAACTCATCGCCTGAGTTCATACATGTGATTTTTCCTTTAAGCTTACAGTATGATAATGGAGCTCTATAAGGTGAGGAAAAAAGCCTTCATTTCACAGATCTTATTACAACAGTCTGTGCATTTTCACCACTGAATGGGGAAAAAAAAATAACCCAAACTAGTCCCCCTAGTGTACCTTTGCAGTAGGGGTCTAAAGAATATGTGGCAAATCACTACCCTGTCTTTCTGTGTGAAACTAGCTTTTTTTTTTTTCAGTAGAAGACATAGCCACTTACAGAAACTGCAGGGAAACTAGGCAACGTTTCAATCCATTTATCTAATTTCCCGCTGTTTCTATTTCTGAACAAGTAAAAAAATAAATGTTGTACAAAGAAAATTAATCTGTATCCAGAAGACTTCATTAAATAAAATGTGCTGACCTGCTGGCAATTGCCAGGTCTGGTTTTAACATAGCACTTTGTTTAGCCCAGTGCTTTCTGTTCCTTCTAGCACTGAAATTGTATTAAAAAAGCTAAGAATGTTTAAAAAACATTTGATTCATTGTCATTTCCATCCTGGCATCCATACCTTCCAGAATACATAAATGACAATCAGTGCTGTGAAAATGTTTCCTGTAGTAATTTTAAGAGTGCTATAAAAAACAAGTACAATACATACACAGAAAGGTAAGACCTTGTAACAACTGTTCAGAAGCCTCCTCAGGCTAATCTTCAGCTAAAAAAAGGCATGTTGGAAAAAAGTAGGCTTTATTTGCTGTCTAGCAAGTAGAAGACTAGCCACTTACAGAAACTGCAGGGAAACTAGGCAACGTTTCAATCCATTTATCTAATTTCCCGCTGTTTCTATTTCTGAACAAGTAAAAAAATAAATGTTGTACAAAGAAAATTAATCTGTATCCAGAAGACTTCATTAAATAAAATGTGCTGACCTGCTGGCAATTGCCAGGTCTGGTTTTAACATAGCACTTTGTTTAGCCCAGTGCTTTCTGTTCCTTCTAGCACTGAAATTGTATTAAAAAAGCTAAGAATGTTTAAAAAACATTTGATTCATTGTCATTTCCATCCTGGCATCCATACCTTCCAGAATACATAAATGACAATCAGTGCTGTGAAAATGTTTCCTGTAGTAATTTTAAGAGTGCTATAAAAAACAAGTACAATACATACACAGAAAGGTAAGACCTTGTAACAACTGTTCAGAAGCCTCCTCAGGCTAATCTTCAGCTAAAAAAAGGCATGTTGGAAAAAAGTAGGCTTTATTTGCTGTCTAGCAGTACCCCCGTTCCAAGTTGAACAGAGCATAAGACATTGTACTCAGGTGAAAACACAAATAAAGATCGTTTGTCTGATGCTCTACAAAGAAGAGAAATCACTTGCTTTCTAAAAACAAAACTGGGCACAGCGGAAGAGCTAGGAATCTCTCCAAAAAGTGTTACATAAGGCATTGTCAAACTTCATGTCACCTCCACAGAGGCCGCAAGTTGCTATTTTCCCCCCCGGTGAGTAGGGATTAATGATCTAAATGACACAATTCTCGGATAGGAGGCAATAGCAGAAGCCTGCCCAAAGGAGAGCTTCCTGGGCTGAAGGCTTGCTGGGGAGGCTGGAGGGGGACGGGGAAACCACCCTCCCCCGCCTCAGCGCAGCGAAACTCCAGCTTCGCCCCGAGCCGGCTGGCTGGTCCCGTTCGGGCAGGCTGCCTCCCGGAGCAGGCACGCCGAGGGACGAGGCGTTCACGCCCCACGGCGTGACACCCTTCCACCCGCACGGCAGCAGCCCCCAGCCCCCGGCTCCCCCGGACTCCTCCGCGCAGCCGGCGGTACTTGGCGGGACGGCGGCCCCGTCCCCCCTCCGCCCCACGGCTGGAGCCCCCCGCGGAGCGGGAACACATCCCGGCCGGAGGAACGGGGCGTGGGGTGCGGTGTAAACAAGCGCCCGTGCGGACTCCCGAGGGGAACGGAGCGCGAGGCAGGCGGGGTAACCTCCCTCGGCTGGGGGG